ATGAATTTGGGGAATTAATATATATATATATATATATATATATATATATATATATATATATATATATATAGAGAGAGAGAGAGAGAGAGAGAGAGAGAGAGAGAGATTTATTTTACCACTTGAAGAAGCTCTTCCATTGCTTGTTCTTTGCTCACGGGCTTTTTACTCCCTCTACCCTCCGGTGGATTATAATTCCTAACGAAAAAGATTACAACGTACAATGTATCGTTATGCATTCACTTGTTTCACTACACAAAACACAATATTTATACACACACACACACACACACACACTCATGTATGAGAAAGATAGATACACCTTAATAAGACATACGTATAAATTTCCGTCCGTATAAAGTTCGACTATACTATAGGCATGTATGAAAAAGATAGGCAAGTTTAATAATGAAAATGAAATAAATAGAAAAGACATGTAAATTGCTGGTTTTGAGCATAGACAAAAATTGAATTGAAGGAAAAAGGAATAATAATACCAAGGGGGAGCATAGTGTGTGAGATCAGTGATATTCTCAGAAGTAGAAACACAGTTGTTTGTGGCTGGGCATAATGCTAGTCCACCTGTGCTTTTCTGCACCCCCAAGTATTTTGGTTTTGTTCCACTGCATCGCATCCGCACACAGAATTATTATAAGAAATTCATTCACCAAAATTAATGGATACAGAGGAGTGAGATTTGAGAAAGCAGCACCTGAATTGGAAAATGGCTCCAAGTACAGCAATTTCACTGCTCCTCAATATTATTTCCCTAAAATTCAAAATATAAATTGATGATTAACCTAGGTTAATACAAATACATACATCAGTGTGTGTGTGTGTTTGTGTGTGTAATTACCTTCTAGTCTTGGTTTCAGCGGGTGGGTCCTCCTTCTGTGAACGAATTGAAAGTTTGATTTGGGAATTTGGAGAAGAAATATATGATTTTTTATGAATGAACAAGTTAGTATTGGGGGTTGCCGCCATTGAACCCATTTCTCAAAGCTTGTTTTTCTTTTGTCCACATGGAGAGGAAACTACATATATATAGACTTCACACTATTCTAATTTACTATTCACACTACCTACCATTATTTCTCTTTTTCAAAAAAAAAAAACAAAAACGTGTTTTTGACAACAGCACTTTATTATTTTACCGTCCATCAGTGGTGGTGTATAAAGTAGAATTTTCTGTAGGATAAATTACGGTCGCCCCTCTAAAGTAAGGTCAAATTACAAAAAATCCCCATCATATTTGAATAATTACAACCATCCCTCAATTATAAATCTTATTACACGTTCACCCTTGTAATGTAATGACAAATTCAACATAATCTTCTACTTTTCGTTGAATGTTCTCTAGTTTGTACTCATTTTGTGCAGCAATGCGGTTTCTGATGCACCACAATCCGATGTTTACTAGCCAAGAGACGCATCTTATGATCATCTTCTTTCAAAATATGGAGCTTGAATGGGGTAAAACGGGTACAAACTGAAAAAATATTCCACATAATTCAGAAAATTCAACTAAATTTGACACCGCAACGATGGACGTGTAAGAAGATTCATAATTGAGGGATGATTGAAATTATCAAAACATTAGGGAGTTGTTCATAATTTAACATTACCTCGGGGGTGGCCGTGAGTAATTTACCCTACAATTTATTGGCTTTTTATTATTATTATTACTATTATTATTATTTTTTTTTTAGCATAATTATAAAAGATTCATGAAGTACTTAATAATAAACTAAAACAAGATAAATAAAAAAATAATAAAAAATGTTCAGCCTTGCAATAGTTGGTTCAAGCCATTAAAGAAGCTGAAAGACAATAATGTATCTTGCCTTCTTTAGGATGTATAATAGTTTCACAGATGGCCCTCTGCTTTTTTAGACCACCATTTCTTTCAAAAATATTCAAAATTAAATCGAGACAGAAAAAAAAATGTGCTCATTTACGCACACCGACCAATTCAACATCATACACAAGCCACGATTTTGGTGGAATGTTTTCTCCCGCTCCGTACTTTCCCACACTGCACCATATTTAAAAAAAAAAACCAATAATTTGCGTAAAAAATAGTTTTACACAAAGGAGTTTAGCATTCACGATTTACGAAGATTTCGAGCATAATTACCTCATAGATGGTGGAACAATGAGTCGCCTCTTGTCACCTACATGCATACCTGAGCACATATTTCGTGTTAATAATTAACATTATATCTATAAAAACGAAGACTAGTCTATTTCAATTCACAAGATAGCTAATAATATACCATCGATGCCAAGATTCCATCCTTCAATAATTCTTTCATCGCCTGAAAAGTAAAACATATAAAGAAAGACCAGTTTTCATTTTATTTTCTCCGACCATAGAGAAAATAACCATGGTTCGTAAAATTGCATAAAAAAGTAAAAAGCACTAGAATTTTTTACCTAATCGGAACTTGCAGGCAGTTTTGCCCACATTTGAGTCGAAAACATGACCATTCTCCTTCAACATGGCAGTGTAATAAATTTTGACCTGGTGCAAGATTTCATTTACTCAGACTATTAAAAAAAATGGCATTATCGTAAATATACACAACAAAGTGAAAAAAATCAAGAATATACCTTTTTTCCTGGAGCAGCTACTTTTCCATCTGACAGTCCATTTGTCACCTCTTCAATGGTCAGCCCGTTTGATAAGGTCTTGTTTCGAATTGGGTTCGCATTTTCAGTCTGATTAGGCGAGCCCATGTTCGAGCCTCCTTCGCCTTGAGTTTTGTTCTTCGTCTTTTTCTTACATTTCTTCTCAGGCTGACTAGTAGCATTAGCACATTTTACGAGGACATCGCTGCAAATAAAAACTTCTACTATGTGACACCAGTTTCGTGTTCTAAATTTAATTGTCAAACTAAACCCCATTTATTATCAACAAAGAAACGAGTAGACAAAGACGGTACAAACTTATCAATCTGTTGTTCCTTGTCTCCATTTTCCGCTGGCAGATCTTTCATTGTCGAGTCGTCGTGTACTAAACCCTGTCCTAATGCACAATCTTTACCAACATTGTTAGATTCCTCTACAGTTCCTTCTGTGCTCGTCCCTTCCAAATTAACTTTTTTCCTTCTCTTCTTCGATTTTTTACTACTTCCAGATCCATGTTCTACAACATCCCTGCTTGAGCAAGTAGCGTAAGATGAAAGCTAATTACAGTTTTACAAAAATTGCCAAAGGAAATAACATTCTTACATATTTGTCGGGGCTTCAACTTCGTGATCTTTATCTTGAATTTCAGAGGTTTTCTCAGAATGTTTCTTTCTTTTCTTTGTCGGCTTTTCACTGATTTATGCCCCAGAAAAGAGCAGAAATAATAGACGACGAGTAAGATTCGTGTAATAGTAGTTTACAAAAAAAAAATGAAGTAGAGGTACATACAGATCACCAGATTTCATCTGATTCTCTCCATTGCACATAGGCAGATTTTGGTCAATTATGTTGACTTCTACATCGTTTCCATGAACGTTATCATTAATTAAGGCAACATCGTTTTCCACAATAGCTTCCCCCTTCACTTCCCTACATAGATACACGAATATAGATCTAAATCATGTAATAACACAAACATGTGTACGTATGTAAAATATCCATAATATCCTCACATCACATGTGGGAGGCTGGAGCAACATTGAACAAGAATTACACGGGAAAAGTGATAGCAAAGTACAATAATTTTATGGCTCGATTACCTTTCCAGTTCGCCGTTTTTATCTATCGGATCAAGCTTGTCGTTTGACTTTCTGTCACATACAACGTTATCTTTTGCCTTTTCGCCCATGTGTACTGTTGCCGGAGCAATCTTTTCTCCATCATCAGTCGAAGCTGTTGTCTTTGCAGCTTTTTTATTCTTAAATATAGATAAAAGGAAGCCGTCGTCATCTTCACTCTCAGACGAATTAGCATCACCATCTTCTTCATCGTCTGACTCAACCACTTGGAATTTCTTCGTAAGCCGTTTAACCGCGAGCCTTTCCATTCTCCAGCTTATCGTTTTCTGGTGTACTCTCATCCATATCTTTGATAATCACACAAATTCCAGAAAATAAAGTCGACTATCAGGAATAAACGTTAATAGCATCATTGTAGATAACAATAACAATAACCATACAAATGATCAAGAAACTGCATATCTTATAACAAGATATAACGAAACATAATAGATAATTTATGAGTTACATGCCTAAATCAATTGAATCATATACATTAGAACTCTTACAAAATTGCAGCTACAATATTCCAACACGAACATCTGATTGTAATAACATACCTTGGCTGCTTACATCAGGGGATGGTGAACAAACTTGCACTTCATTGTCATCAATGAAACTGTCCTCGTATTTATCCTCATCACTACAGTAATTAGATCCGTCTGACTGGCTATTCTGAATATCCACACCAAACGATTCTCTATTGACTCAAAAGTAAAGGAAACTCAAAATTACCACCATGTAAACTAAACATAAACTCGAGAACAACAAAACAATCCACACCATAAATAATGAAGGAGTTGAAAAATACCCGTCATTGCATCATAAGATATAAATAGTATTTAGGTGGTGGCTAAACTGAAGAATAAAAAAAAAGAAGGACGATAAAAAAAAAGGATACGTGTCGCTCTGAGGATGGTTTAGTTGACTTTGAGCGACATAGTAACCAGAGAGGAAGACGCTTCGAGGGCCGATAACAGAAAACATGACATCATACGATTCCTCGAATTCCAAATCTAACTGACACGACTCTGTTTGATTGGGAAACAAAGCACAGATCAAAACTGGAGTTCGTTTACCCACGTTGCACTGTAGTATACTCTTCTTGGTAGCATCACCGATTCCCAGCATCGCCTAAACAAAAACTCGTAATTACGTTTACAGCAATTGAATAGAACATATTGCAAAGAAAAATCACAAAATTTAAGATCGGGTAAGCGGTCTCCTTTCCCCATCATTACATTCACATATCTAAATTTTTGTTAACACAAATTCAATGTGCATTGTGTTCATAATATCATTATCTTCATTCAAATGTACCTGGGTAATTCGAAGCCTTCCACTAGTCTTTTCACAAGAATGAATTACGGGCTTCCCCGGTTTCACCTCAATACCTGAATAAACAGTGACGAAATTTGAATTCACACACACGCACACACACACACACACACACACACACACACACACACACACACACACATAGATAAAAGTTACACTCATGAAAGAAAACGCACAAAAAAATCAAAAAATGCAAATCATCGAAGGATTTCGGAGGTGCGCAACATGAAATTTGAATAACAATAATAATAAAATAAAATGAATCGAAAATAAAACACAATCTTTAGATTAGAGACAAACAAGAAGAGGAGAGAACGGCTCACCCCAGAAAGCCATTCCTTATGTAGAAAAAAAAAATCAGGAATTCTCGGAAATGAAGAGCAAATCGTGATTGCTTTATGCTTACAATTCTTGCCTCTTTTGAACCCTAATACTGTGTGTGTGAGAGAGAGAGATAGGGAGGAAGAGAGAGAGAGAGAGAGAGAGAGAGAGAGAGAGAGAGAGAGAGAGAGAGGGGGGTTTTGGTGTTTTGGGGAATATTGAACATTGATTAGGATCTTTAAACCCTAAAATTTATATACGCGCTGAGCGGCGGAACGCGGGAGTCGGCACTCGGGTGTGTGAGAAAATAATTATATTTCTAACCCCTTATGTTTGCTTTTATTTCAATTGCACCACCCTTTTAGCTTAGGATGTAGCAATTAGCCCCTATGGACTCAAAACATAATTATTCAAAAATATGTGTCTGTGTATGTATATATTTACATTGGAGGTGAAATGTTATGTCGTTATTAAATATGTATTATTTTATAAATTTGACGAATTAATAATTTAGAATGAGATCCGAACTCTCCAATTAGATGCAAACATTCACTCATAAAGAGCGTTAGAGGGGGCCGGGATGTTTCCCAGCAAAAATCCTCTCACGCTCAAGTCAGAAATTATGAAAAATGATACATTTCAAAAGTCGAAGAAAAATTCGAGAATATTCGTGATTGGGGATTTCTATTATAAGAGTAGGTAGTGCAAGACTCGTAATTAGGCTACTTAAGCTATGGGCTCAAGCCCGTTAGTATCAAACAATTGGGCATAGTTTACCAACATCATGAATCACATTTTCTCAGTCGGAACCTATAAAAAAATTTAATTTACGCAAAGTTATTAACTAATCGAGTATTAGATTATCGAAGTTCTACTGTATTGTCACACAACAAACATTAATTCATCATCACACATGTAAAACAATACATTTGAATATATGAATTGGAGTATATATATATATATATGAGTGGAAATTAAGAAAAAAGGACTAATCCCAAATCATAACAACTGCAATAACTCCAACACCCAAAACCACAGCCAAAAACTTAAAGAATGGAGTATCAAAGTAACACTTAGCCACCGGTTTAAATCCTTTGGAAATTAAATGATTAATTGCCACGTAGATAAATACACCGCAAGCGATTCCCATTGTGATAGCGTAAGTCCAATCGGCGCTTCGGCCTTGTGAGGTGGCATCGAGAGCGATGCCTATTCCAATGCCGACGGGGCTCGAGATAGCAAAGGCGAAGGAGTAAATTAGTGTCGTTAAAAATGGTCGCTTTGGTATCATTCTTAGGAGTGCAATTCCCATTGCTATTGCTGCGAATATCTTGTGTAGCGATATCGTCCATAGGTTTCTCCATGCATCGCCTTTTGTATCTGGCATAATCAAATAAGAAAAATGAAAAATTAAAAATTACGAATCGGGGTTTTTCACGTTATTAATTTTTCTAGCAATGTAATATTAATTAATTTGACATGCAATATGAACGCATAGTGGTAGGATCGGTAATGGTTTTCGATTTTCAGCAAAATCGGGTGGTCGGGTCGGATAGGTGAAATTGGCTGATAATTGTCCGACCCGACCCATGCTCAGCCCTAATTTATACAGTAGAATCTCAATGAATTAATAATTTCGATTAAATAATAATTTCTCTTTATCTCGACTCGGTGAAAACGTATTAAATTATTAGTTCGATAATTTAATATTTCGTTAAATTAATAGAATTTTGTTAGTCTCAACTTAAATAATTTATAGAGATCCATTTAACTGTAGATATACCTGCAATGCCGACAGCGATACCCTCGAAAACGGAGTGGAAGCAAAGAGCGAGTATGAGAAGTACGGTGTCGCCGACGGACGAAGTCGTCGTCAAGACAGGGTTATTATGGTCTTTTCCACCTTCCACGTCATCATTGCCGCCGCCGCCGTTTTCTCGGACAACGTACGCAACGACGCAGTCGCCCAGCATGGTCAGAAGATAGCCGGCCGCCGCCAGCATGAACGCGAAAGGGTACGGCTTCGGCGTAAGATCGGCGAACGTGGAGTTCGAATCGCTGAGGAAATGCATGAGCGCCGTCCCCAAGAATACCCCTCCGGCGAACTGAGTCCCCAGCAGGAGAAAGCTCTCGTTCCATCTGTAAAAGTACGGCGACACCCCGCCGGCGAACGTGGCGGCGAACATGATTATCAGGCACCAGATCTTCACCAGGACCAGCCCCTTCGAGTGCAGATTCTTGCTACCGCCGCCGTCGGCGGTGGTGGTGCCGTTTGCAGTTGAAGTACCGCCGGGAACCTCGTCGTCATCGTGGCCGCCGCCGCCGTGGCTTCGGATCTCCGGGAAGTGGAGGAGCAAGACGATGAGAAATATGATTACCAGAGTTGACTTGGCAGAAGCCATGTACATTAATTTTTCTTTTTTTGGATAATATGTATTTAAATAGATAATTATATTGGAATGTGTATATATATAACATATGTATATATTATATATTATATATATATAGTATTGTGTGTTGGAGAGTAGTACAGATTTGACTTTCAATATTGTACTGCACAAGGAGGACGACCAAAAAAAGAGTACTTTCACTTGATAATTAGCTGTTTTGTTCTGTCCAAATGAAATCTCTCCTGAAAAATGATTACGAAATTATATTTATTAATTAATTCATTATTACATCAATTAATTAAACTGTGGTGACCACGGACCCCAACAACATGAAACTTAGACAATGATTATATATGGGTTTAATAGCATTTTGCAATCTCGATTTTGTCCCTTTTTTTACTTTACCACCTTAAAAAAAAAAATTACACGGACACATCCGAGGAAACTCCCAAGGAGGAAGAAAAACCGGAGCTTTAGTTTAATTAGTTTCTAATCCAGGCAAGTTTTAAATAAGTTCAATTGAGTCCTTAGAAATTTCATATCACACCCCCATATGCAGGGGCGGACCGAAGGGATTTCGGGTGTGGGGACTAAAAGTGAATAAAATTTTAACTTTAAAGGGTTAAAATACATAAACTAATAGATAAATAACACACTAATGGATTATGGATCTGCCCCTGCATATGGTATCTAAATTGCTCCGGGCGATTTAATTTGATAATAACATATTGGGCCAAACTCTGAGAATTCACATGAATTTGGGCCATAATGATCATTGTGAAAACTTAATGGGCTATCAACTCATTACAAAAAAATATTAAATAATAAATTAATTAATTAAATTAAAAATACCGATATGACCACACTATTTTATTTTACCCTTGGTTTGTTGGAATATAACTTGTGCATGACAAATTAATTAACACAGTTAAACGTCTATAAATTAATACAATTGGCTCATGGAAATCCTATTAATTTAGCGAATTATTAAACTATCGAGTTAATAAACTATCGAGTTAATAATTTAACACATTTTCACCAAGTCGGGATCGCGACAAACTATTATTTAATCGAGGTTCTAATGTAGAACAAAAGTAGGGTAATATCGTCTTTTGCACGCACTTAAGAAGGGTTATAAAGTCATTTCACACGGCCTTTAAATTGGCATTAAAAAAGGACTACTAGAGTGTAACAAAAATCAGTTGAAAATGATGGATACAAATAACTTATCCCACTAGTAGAACTCATCAACCAATTAAAGGAATTACGGAGGATGTTATTTCAATATATATATAGTTTATGAAGCAAATTATATAACTAAGATTGATTTTCATGATTTATAATAAATTAAATAAATAAATAATTGTAAAAGAAAGTTATCTCATAGGGTTTAGGAGTTGGTATTTAGGGTTTAGGGTTTGGTATATGTATATATATATAGGGGTTGGGGGGATTTTTAGGGTTTCGGCTAGTTACAAACTCAAATGTGAACACATACGCTTTCGGAAAATTAGATGCTACACTTTTTTTTTTTTTTTTTTTTTAAGAGAACGACACCCAATGAGGGTGGGGGGTTAGGCTTGACCCCCTACCTGTTTATAAAACAAAATTTAAGAAGTACAGAATGAGTTTCGCTCAAATTGCTACTGCCCAACATATGGCTAATAATAGCAATTGACAAACAAAAGACAATAGGTAACTAACAAAACGTTAAGAAAACGGGCAAAACAGGTGGCCCAAATAATAAAAAGGACGGGGTGGGAATGATCATAAAAGGTCGGGGAAGACCAAGGTAGACCGTTCGCCTCACCACAACAGCCGAGGCCACTTACACTTTCGCCAAAAATGGGCGAAACAGGTATAACGGCTGCGAAATGTGTGGCACCATTCGGCAAACAGTCTAGTCTTGATAGACCCAAACAATCCATAATCACCCCAACCCTTCCTAACATGTAAAGTTCACGAAAATTCCTAAATTGCCAATAATATAAAAACGTGGAATGCGTGGCACCTATGTGCGAGACTGTCGTCGAAAGGATGGATATCCAAGCTGGTCCATCCGAATCATCTGCTGAATAGGTCGAGGAAGTTCCGCTGTTGTGAAGGTACGAGCCAACTCGGTCTGACACCCCAAGTTAGCTAATGCATCAGCTACTTTATTGCCCTCCCGGTAGATATGTGTAATCCTGTACTCCAAAGTAGAAAGAGAGTTCCGGATCGCCGTGAGAGAACTCTGAAGACTCCAATGACCTTGGTCCGTGTGCGAAAGAAGTCGAACAGCGACATAATCATGTATATGTGGGCTTAGCGGTTTTATTATTATTTTTGTTGTTATTATTTGGAGAAAGTTTTTTTATTTTATTATTAGATTTTTTTTTTTAGTTTTTTTTTTTTTTTTTGTAATGAAGGAACCCGCAACCAACTATATAGGTGCACTCGGTAAATCTATACTCTCGTATAACAGCTTGCAAACTATACGAGATACGTAAACTACACTAGGTTGAACCATATATGACAAGCTCGACCTAATGACCGTTGACAGGGGGATTCGATAGGAAATAGAACCAATAATCTAATACTCTCTCCGTCCCAATTTAAATGACGTTTTGGGTTGTGGCACACATATTAAGAAAATCAATAAATGTGTATAGATTATAGTGAAAAGCATAGGAAAATACTAATATATCCTTGACATTAATTATTTTACAACTAACTAATTAGGAGTGATAAAGGGTAAAATTGAAAATAATGCAATTAATGATGCATTGAAAATCTAAAATGACAAATAATTTGGGACAAAAAAAAACTCTCTAAAAAGACATATAATATGGGACAGAGATAGTAATATCTTCATAGCTAGTTAACTTCTACAATTAATTAGTAGATATGTCAAATTCGGTAGACTTAATTAATTACTTTTGACTTACATGTTACATTCAAGACCTATATATATATATATATATATATATATATATATATATATATATATATATATATTAATCCCATGTTAAACAAAAAAAGTTAAATTTTTTTTTAATTAAAACAAAAAATTATTTAAACTCTTCCAATATATAAGGAAGATTAATGAACGGTAAGAAGAGGGACACCCTCTTATTCGGTGAACCATAAAAACAAGAGCAATAAAATATATAAAAGTAAATTACAACTAGCTCCCTCACATAAAGATTATTTAAAAAAAAAACTCTTTATTTTGTGCAATTACACCCCATATAAAAGGGTGTTAATGTAAAAAATCTACAAATTTCAGAAGCAAATGTAATTATGAAAAAATAAAGGGGTTTTTTCGTAAATATACTTTACCTCGTAATTTATCCTATATATAATTATAGCACCAAACATTTCTCCATATTTTGTTCTTTCTCCAACTGGTAATTCATCCAACAGTTATCTTCACCCCCTCCCACATTTTTCTTCTTTTCCTTTCTCTCTCTACATTCTAGAGAGAGAGAAAATGTTGCCGTATCGAACCCCTAGATTGAAGCACTCGGTTCTCTCCTCGGATAGAAACCTGTCGTTCTTGGAGACGTTGTGGTTCGAATACTCTGCCGAGAAATCGGATTACTTTCTTTATTGCCATAACACGATTTTCTGCTTTATATTCTACACGATTCTGCCGTTGCCGTACGTGGTTATCGAGCTTTTACGTTCGAAGAAGATC